TTCCGACATCCAAGTATGTGGTAATACTTAGTTAAAAATAGAGAACAGAAAGTCATTGTCAAAGCTCTCCTGTTAGGGAATTATAAAGGAAACAAAACATGTTTCGTTATTTCATCGGCTACCTCCTAATTATTCTATTATTCGTTAACGCTTGTAACGTCAGCTTTAGAAAATCATTTTACGGTGGCCGATTTATATTATCAACTCAGTTAACAGATATGAACCTGGTGATGGCTTAACTCACAATTGAGTTTTGTGGAAGGGCATCAGAACGCAAAATCCGAGGGCGTGAGGTACAGTCAACTCCACATGAGATCACAGAATTTTTTTCGGTCAAAGCGTGTAACAGGACGAAAACATACATCTGTTTTGTTTTTTTTTTTTTAACAAAAGTTTATATTTATCGAAAAAGAATATAAACTGCCAGTTAACATTCTCTTGATTTGTCATCAACAGTTAAAATCAGAAGAGGATTCCTAGCTAATTGAATTCCAGTTTTTTTGGCTTTAGAGATGAAAAAAGATAAAAGCTATGACTCTGGCGTTGACGTCGCCCGCACCGCCCGATCGGCAAGAATGCAAAATTTCACGACTCGTTGCCGGGACTTTCGTAGTTTTCCGCAATGGCGATGGGGTGTGAACGACATAAAATGAATGGTTTAATAACTTCTGATAACGGATACATGACCCTCATTTAGCATTCAAGTGTTCCCTCTTCTAGATGTGCAATATCTTGAGTACGTTTCCGTTAGATAGCGCCATTCGACCTTAGCTATTCCGGCCTCAGTCCCTCGTCCATTACAAATCGGAAACTCTTCGGCCTCTCCGATTGTATTACGCTGATACGGTGTAAGCGGAATTTCTGGTCCATTCAACGCGTGACGTGATCGAATGTGGAGCGGTTTTCAAAGATTGGTAAGGACTAAAGCAGACCGTTTTGGTTAGGGTTTCAATTCGATTAACTAAACCATTTTGGTAAAATTTGCTTGGTGAGCTTGAAGAGTCTCGAAATAGAGACGAGGATGATATACGAGCGAATATCACAGTGCCCCCCTCAAGTCAAGAGCCACTTAAAACCGACGGTTGTCTTGAGATAAGAGATAGTTAGCTTTAATGTCACCTCTTGAAGGTTTGATTTCAGGCCAAAATTTTGCTTTATACTCCATTTTTAGACTTAAAACACGGTAAGCTGACATGAAGCTCTATCGCATCATGTTATAAAATTTGCTTACAAGAGCGCATTGAAAATTATCATCAGACGTAGGTGAGATGATATAACGGATGCAGATATAGGCTCACGACAGATTGAGTCAAAACAACACATCCCGTTTTGCTTTGCGAGACGACAGAGAATCTAGGAGCGCGAGATAAAAGCTTCATTCGTCCGAAGGGTTCATGATACAAAATCGCCCACATTTTCTTAGAAAGTAGGTTTGTTTTTGTTAAATTTGACTCTCACAGTTGATCTTTTGCCACGGGGAAAAACATAAATAAAATCTAACGCAAAAAAGTTCTCGTTCCAGTAAATATCATCATTTGCATATAAGCCACGTCTCTATTTGTAATTCTTAATTAATACTAAAACAGGAAAGAAATCGATACAACTTTTAAAAATAGACCATCAAGTAGAATATATAATTTTCCTCATAAATGCTAAAAGAGACTCAAACAGAACTATTGTATCTGCCTGGAGGAGTTTCCTAGGGGACGTTTTTGTAATTCAAAAATCATAATATTAGAAAAAGCTGCGTCAAGTATATTAGAAAGTGAAATGTCAGGATCAGTTCAAAATGCCGCGCTAGATTAATTATTCTATGAATTTTTCTGACATACCGTGAAATGTTTTTTCGTCAATTTAGGGTGACCAAGTTTAGTCTAGACCAGAGTAAAGACGATGATTGTAAAGTTTTGCCAACTTAGAAAGTTACTTTCGATGGATGAAGAAACTCCGACGATTTGATTTTGATCTGGTAACATTTCTTATAACAGAGAAGTCAAACCTTCAATTTTCAATCTTAATAAGGCTTCCTATATCTTCTGTGACATGGTTTTGTTTTGCAAAAAACAATCATCACTGAATTAAAACAGAAACCACTCTGAGACCGTCTGGTTTGAATGTATCATCTCGGATTTGTACGATAAGATTTCGTGTTGCATAATACCTCCTTCGTGTCTTGTGACATTCATCTGCATTGCCAAAGTTAGTCATCACTAAATCAAAGGAGGCAAGGTTCTGAGACCGTCGGTTTTAGGCAAAAGTTAACGCATACTTAACTGCACTCAATAATCTTGGAAATACATGTTCTTATTGGGCATTTGTTTACTGACCTGAAAACCGCTGAAAATCCTGAATTTCAAACACTCTCAGAAATGTTTTCACAATGCAGGTTCAAAGGCGGCAAAGTTATACGTCCTCAGTCATTTGAGAATGTTCTAGACCAGTGCAAAAGTATTCAGTCGAATGAGCATGCCTAAACTTGTTATGGTCTGAAATACGATAGAAGGTCAAGCGTAACCGCTACTAGCCAATAGGTGTCAGGAGAGCAGCGGGGGAACGCTTGAGAGTGTGCGCTTTCCTATTTTGTTTTTATCATAAGCGCTCTTACTTCATTAATCCATTTCAGGAGTTTATTGCTCCTGTCCATTTACATATCCATATTGTATACCATATTTGGAATTCGCTTTGTTAGTCATCTATTGGACTTACTCGTTGTATAGAGGTCTCTAAAATGACCACGAAATATGAAATGTACGATTCTCAAGAATCAGCAGGGACATTGTTTGGCATAGAAGTGCAAAATTGTACTGTTTCTTGATCTTTCTCTCTTTCTCCATCCTTCCAATTTCTGGGATGAAGTCAGAGGGAGTGGTGAAGGGGGGGGGCCGGAGGTGAAAAGTCTTGAGAACGAGGTTGAGTTTTCTCCAATCAAAGGTACTTGCATTTTTTAGTTATAGTTATCTCGAGCTCGGATGCCACTCGCTCTGGCTTCTTGACGTTCTGTTGTGTTTATCACAAACAGGTTAGATTTGTGTTTTAGTAAGTTGAGTTGTGCCTTGGAAAAGTCATTTTAGTTTTGATAAATTAATAGCGTTTTTGCAAAACTGATTTGCATTCTGGTAAATGTTTTGTGTTTGACCCTTCTGAGAGGGTAGCAAAGGTTTTTTGCGTTACGCGTGATGGCCCCAAAATTTGCAGGGTGACGAGTGATTGAACCCAAATTATCCGCGTGACGCGGGACCGGACATCGCAACGTGATAAGTGATTTGCTATTTTACAAGCGCATGACTCGAGATTTACTAGACTTAAAAATTAGATTTCCGAGATAATTGAACGCTCTTCGACCTAGAAGGATACCAATCATTCAAAGTAAATAGAGTCTTAACAAAGATCAATAAACCGTGGCAGCCGTGGCACTGTTTTCTGTTAATTTCCGTCCTTTGCTGTCCTATGCTGACCTTTGCTTGACCTTTGATGGCTTTGATCTTCGTGGTAGATCTTAACAGTCGAAACACAATGGACATAGGTTAATATAGTTAACATCTGCACAAGGACTTTGACCTTCAGTGTTATTTTTTGTTGACCGCCTGGTCATGGTAGTGCGTCAGATCGTGTCCAAAAAGACCAGAAAGTATCCGTATCCGAATCCATCGGATGAAAGATGTGAAAGAATGTCGACCCAAACGTTAGAGTTTTGGTGTCATTTTATGCCGCCCAAGAAAATGATAATGTAAGTAATAAGCCAGTACACAAGGAAAAATTTTGTGTACCAGTTAGTGGTACACAAAATTTTTTCAAGGTCGTCATAAAGACCTAAACGAATTTAAAGTCACGTTATACCCTTTACTGACATGAAGACAGTTGGCGTACAGAAGGGGATTGGGCAAAGCTTTGACACAAATATTGCCCATGTATCAAAAAATAGTAAAGGTGGCGTAGACGACTACTCAATTCGTACGCAAGCCTCTTGGAGCCACGGGTGGCCGCAAATTGAAACATGGCCAAAGTAGCAAACTAGCAAAGTTCGTACTTGCGAGATAACCAATGTGCCATATATGAGTTCAAACTACGAAAACACTGTCAAAACTACGACTACTGACTTATTAAACAACAAACTATGATGACAGTGACGCCCAGACGAACACCTCAGGTGTCGAATTGAAAAAATTAAAAAATATTCGTGAACAGCCTTTGAAGGTGAGGCAAACAACAAACTATTGATGAACTCAAATAGTAAATACGTAAGCTTAACTCTTGTATTAAATATCCTGATTCTTTAATTTCTCTTTTTCTGTGTTTGATACTTGTAAAGTACTATTTGATGTTGCAATACGAAGCCCGAGTAAACGCTCTCGGAACGTCTAGTTTCAACAAGTAAGTCGTCTTTATTTCAATGTCTAGCAAAAAGCAACATGAAAGTCAAGTGATACGCTATTCATTCCAGGATAAAAAACGCTGGATGCAATATAATCTTTAATTATACATCCGTTATAGATTTAAATCTTACAGTATTAGCTTAGCGTACTTACTCCTTTTCATGTGACGTGTGATTGGTTAAAAAAATTTTTTTCCGTGATGCGTGATTTAGAAAAATTCAGCGTGATGTGTGATTGGATTTCCCCGTTTGCCACCTTCTTCTGAGCCATTAAAGTACGCTCTACAACTGGAAACTTGCATAAAATAATTGAGGTTTAAGCGTTTTTTACATACAGTCGCTCTGAATAACCCTTGACTTAGTGCTCGTAAATAGTCAACAGACGTTTTCACCAAAACAATTCGAAATACGGCCTATTGAATTACTAATTATTTCAGGTCCGCCGAAATTGTATCTCGAAATTCAATCTCGAGCTCAGGGACCCTGGGCTTGAGATTGCTCCAAATGATGAGGATTTCCTGGTATCTTATGACCTCTAAAGGGTGTGACATACTATGCTAAGTTCATATCAGGGGGTTAAAAACTATTTCGCTTCTAACTGCTAAATTAGGTCTCACCCGAGATTCAAATGGGATCGTTGACGATGTTAATCTCAGTGTTCCCGTCGCTTTCACCTCTTGTTTTATGTTGTTCAGTCGTTCTTGCAGTGGGCATTGCGTGCCTGATCCGTCACCATCTGTTGCATCTGAGGGATGACGAAATTTTTTACACAACAACTGGAAAGCTTTCTCGTCGACTTGGTTCCTTTGAAGAATACTTCTTAGCGAGTGCCTCCGGAAGTAACATTGGCTATCTTAACACTGTGCTCCTGCTGGAATCGAGGATAAAACTTGATGTAGGGCATCTGAAGACGGCCCTGCTGATGTTGTCCGAACGATTCCCTTTATTACGAATGCGTGTAACAGTTGATCATTTGAACCAGCCATATTTTGAAGAGATGGAAGACCCGCAAAGTTTGGAATTTCAAACAAGAATGGACGTAGATTCAGAAAACTGGATGAGTGCGTTTGACGAACATATCAATTGTGCACCATTTCACACTGAGAAAGGGCCTTTGTGGCGTGTAATACTACTCAGGGAGACTACTGCACGTAAAGGTGAAGGAATTCTCTACAAAAATTCATTGTTGTTTACTTTCCATCATATTATTTGCGATGCCCGATCTGTGTTTGAATTTAAAAACAAACTGCTGCAATTCCTAGGCGCACTGTACAACGGGAAGGCTATGAAAGTTGAAACTCTAGCGTTTCGTCCAACACTCGAGCGCATGACATTGAATCTAACTGAACCAAATATCTTGGAAAGACTTCATATTCCGCTGTTCGTGTGGTTCAGTAAGCTAAGCGCTATGATTCGTAAACCCAAGATGGCAAATTTATATTTATTAAAGTTTCCTCCAAATGTTCGTGATTCACTGGCACGGACCACGCACGCAATACCTCGATGCTTAACTAAAGAACAAACAATGGCTTTAGTAAGTTGCTGTAAGGCCAATGGTTGTACAGTGCATGGCGCTATTACTGCAGCAACTCACTTAGCCATGAAACAAATCATTGACCTGGAGCAAACTGAACGAAAGCTCCCGTTATTGTTTGACAGTAATTATACTGTTGACATCCGAAAACAATGCAAGCCCCAAGTTGGAAGAGAAGAGTTTGGGCTGTATGCAAGTTTCGACACACTTCAATTAGAAGTTGCAGGAACAGAGGAGTTTTGGGATTTCTCTCGCACATGCACCGAAAAAATTCACCTTAAAATCAACTCAGGAGAACACATGAATGTTTTGAAATTCATACAATGTGCGAATGTACAGTCAATATGGGAGTTATTTTGTACTGAAACCAGATATGGACAACGGAAAGAACTATTCAACTTGACAAATCTTGGAGTTCTGTCCATTGATCAAGAAATGAAATCTCCCCATAGATTTGCTGGTGCATATCTTGCTTTACAAAGTGCAAAGCTGCCTTCTGTCACTGGACATGAAATTTTCACAGTAAATGATCATTTGTATTGGACAGTGGAATATTGTCCTGAAATCAGTACAAGATCTCAAGCAGAAAACTTTGTTGACTTATCACTTGGTATCCTCATGGATGCCTGTATTTCTTAGATTACAGCACATGTGATCTTGAGCTGAATGTTCAGCCATCTTAACTGAATGTTGGCCAAGTTCTTTTTTTTGTGTGTTTCTATAGACTAAGACAGTCCAGGTCCATAAAAACACAACTTCATCACCAACATTGTGAAAAACTTACAAACTTTGTTGGTCCTCTTCACACTTTCTCTTGTTTAATGGGCAAGATGGTCCCTCCAGCCAATCAGAATACAGGATTCTTTTGATATTGCTCACAGGTGCTGCTAACTATATTTATTGAAATATTATTTTACTAAGTAATGTTAAGGTTAACATGTGCCTTTGGCAGCTGATGTTTGGTCAGCATCCACCTCTCTGACAAGGCTTTATATTGCAAGTGAAAAAGTTCATATATTTTCTGCCATCATTTTCCTTCCCTTAGCAGTTGTAAAACTCAACCTAACTGTTCCAGTGAATACTTGGTCATTAAAATTAACGCAGTCCATTGGGACAGCCGAACAAAACACTGCATGCTAGAATTTAAGTCTTAACTACTGGTAAGTTAGTTAGTTGTTGTTAAGTTGCAGAGTTCAGACAAAAAAAACAGTAAGTTTAATCGCTGTGTTTTCATTTTCCAATTTTGTTATAGTACATAGAATTTATCATTGAAACATTAACCTTTTATCTTACTTAGGCCTTAAATGTTACAACGTTAATACACCTGATGACTTATCAAAAAGACCTTAAAACCCCACAGAATGTCATTTCAGTTCTGGGTGTTGATACATTCTGAGAATTGATTTTTTCATATTCTTGCATCAACAGAATTGCCTTTAAGGGGGAATGTGAAATCTTCTTATGAAAGTTAGGTGGTTCAAGGAAGACTTGGGGAACTTTTCTTAATGACAATGCTTAGCACCTTTTGGAGCAGACAGTCTCAGATTAGTTGTTATAAGGAGCATGTTTATCAGGATCCTTTTTCAATCATCTTGTGGCTCAATTGTCTTTTTTCCTTTTAGTACACTCAAAATGGCCAGCAATAAAAAAGTACATTTAACCTATCAGCATGCTAACAAATAGGTCACCTCATCACTATCAGATACTCTTAAATTTAAAATCATTTAGTCCTAAATTAAGGACTGATCAACATCCTTAGAAAGAAGAGCCAGAGTGCAGGTGAAGCAGGTATTTGGAAAACTGTTAGATCTCTTGTACCCTCTGGCATGTAGTACATGCATGTAATATGCTTACTTTCATTCTCAGTCCATTTAAATGGTGTCAGCTTTACATCAAGTTTGGATAGTATCAATGAAAATGCAGAAAACAAAGGAATGTTCTATGTATCTTAATAAACCAAACTGACAAGAGAGACACCAGTTAAAGAAAACTTGCTTGCTTTTAAGGAAACCACAATTTTCAAGCATTCTGCCTCCCCTAAGAACACAGGTACAGATAAGGGTATCTGGACAATTTGCCCCTCAGACAATTCGCCCTCAATTTTTAGACAACTCATCCCCAATGTGAAAACACCAAAGTTACTGATTTACAAAAGAAAAAGAGAGCGCAACTGCTCTAGCTAGCCAGTCAACTGAATTGTTCGTGTCAATTGTGGATGAAACAAGATTATCTACGGTCAAATTTATAATTCTAACAAATGGCAATTGCATTCTCTCGCATCTAAAACCAAAGAACTGAACACGAAGCACCATCTTATGTTAATGCGATTGACAATCGGTATATCATTTTGGTTTTGGTTAACTTGAATAGTCAAGCTTTCTTTTTCTTCCAAGAAATAATTACTTTATGACAAAAGCTATGTTTTCTACAATAATTAAGTTGTCTTCACATTGGGGGTGAATTGTCTAGAAATTGGGGGCTAATTGGCTGGAGGGCGAATTGTCTGACATTCCAGATTAGTAACAGTGAACTGCTACCTGACTATATATTGATTGAGGATAAGGAGGGGGAGGCCTGCTATGGATTACCCTGCATGCTGCATTAAGAGGAGTGCCTTCATCCTCAAAAACTGAATAACAGAAGCATTGGAGGATGGACACACTTGGCCTGAAACTTTATTACATTTGTATAAAAATTAATAGTGTAAATCAACCTTTGTTCTTCCCACCAAGCCACAATGTCAGTCCCCCCGGTCAATTCCTTCACTTTCCCACCCCAAGCACATACCCAAGTACAAAATAACAGTGCTAACAAAAAAGCTCAGAAATGAGGTTCACTTTATCAGTCCAGTATCCTGAATTATGAACATTGTCATGTGTAGTATAAAAGAAAACAATTTTTAACTGTTTCACTCCCAAGATTGAATTATCAATTCCCATAACTATTTGCTCTAAATTTCTTCTAGAAGAATTTGGAGTTAAAACAAAAAGATCTCCCAGTTGAGATTTTGCTAACTTCTTCTTACCTATCTGCACAAAATGTATTGATATTAAAAGGAAAAGTTCATTTTTGGTCAGTCCTTGGAGTGTAGGGTTCAAGGGCCCAAATACTTCATACTGAAAGACATGCTGTAAGTAAATAGCTAATAGTAGATACTGAAAATACCAGATATTTACACTGTAAAAAAAATTCAACATTATTTCTTATGTATTCCTTGTAAGCTGAATTTTTGACATTAGAATCACAAACAATTCATTAAATTCATATAAAATGTAAAAATTAAATCTAGCAAACTCCATATAATTATTTTTAAGTATATATTATTTGTACACTTACAGACCACTTTAATAACAGGATTCTTTTTATTTCCTTTTACCCAATTTTTCAATAAACATTAATTGAATGGCTAGAAGACAATAGAACCTGCATTTCAATTGTTTCTAAGGGCAAACACATTTTTCCAGTATTATAAACTCATTGTACTGCCATACAGTTTAGCACAAGGCTTGTCTGTAAATCAGTTGAAAGCTGGAAATATATGACAATTTTATCACATCTCTCAGTTAGTATGAGCTACATGATTGGTCAATTTAGTAGGACATGTTATATCTCTCAGTTAGTATGAGCAACACGATTGGTCAATCTAGTGGGCCATGTTATACTTCTCAGTAAGAATGAGCAACATGATTGGTCAATTTAGCTGGCCATGTTTCACTGTACTGCCCACAAAAGTTTGTTTGAACTGAAATCTTCCTTACTCCGTTTCACCCCAGAGAAATAATAAATATCTTTCTAACTTCTAAACCTTGTTTTCCAGGTGTGTGCTATGAGTTTCAGTACCTTGTTTCTCCTGCTCAGATTTAAGACCTGCATGCTTATGCTTGGGCTTTAACTCAGAGCAGAAAAAAATTAGTCTGAAACACACAGTGCTGACCTTGAAGTTACTTAGTAAGATATATTAAATAGTTAAAAAAATTAAAATGTATTGTATTACAATTCCAGCGCTTTGATTTGTTTATAAGTAATGGTACCTCATCTCATTTACTGAAGCCCAAAAATATGGTCCTGGTGTGGAAAAAAGAAATAACCCTTTTACATTGTCTGCAGAAAAGTTTTGAGATATTTCCTTGAGTTAATGTCACAGGACTATTTAATTGCACTCTCTGTCCTTGGACAGAGATAAGTAGAGTCAATTCAGCGGTAGGTACCTTGTTGGCCAGCAACTCATTAACTTATGCTTACTCTTGGAAAAATAACTGTTAAAGATCACATTCACATTGTTAGTCATGTCAACCTTAACGTCACCAGCAACAGTCATTTACCTATGTCAGAGACATTTAACTTTGGAGCCTGTTGTGTTGCTGCGGGATGACTTTGACTTGTCGTACTCATTACATTTGATAAACATGGGAGTCAGTCCATTCATATATCTAAAGGATTTGTCAGTAGTGGGGTTCTCTCGCCACCATTGTTATTTTCATGTCTGCAGTTCCTCTGACATATGGGACATGTCTCTTTGATTTCCATCCACTTCATTATACACCTGAACATTTCAAACAGCAAATGTGTGTGAATGGATAATGATTGTGAAACTTAAAACATGTATGACTATTGAAATGGTTACACTTTAAAGTACACCCAGGTAAAATTATAGAGGATCAGGAGTACTAATCTTCAACGAACAATAAAAGAAGTTATGGACATGAGGGAAAAACTGAAATTGACTCACTTGTGATGGTAAGCATGGCCACATCTACAAATGCTTATTTCTTCTTTGTGTTGGAAATCATCCAAACAAATTGCACATGTCTAGTAACAAATAAATCTACTGTCAGAAATTCTGGAGAAAATGTAAAACCTGCATCTACAACAAAAGGACCAGGGAAATTTAATTGTAACAAGGAAATTTATCAGATCATCAAGGCACACAGCAAGAAAAGAAGGCTTCTTTGAGTGTACATGATGCACTGTACTTACATATTAAGTATTAATTAATACATCAATAAACTTATTAATCAACTTATTTTAACTACTTAATTTAACTATTTTAACTAATTAACTTATTTTTAACTAGTTATAATTTGTCTTGAGTATACCCCTGTAGCTTTTTGCCACGTTTCCCCATAATACAGACACCAGCTGGCAAATATCTTAATTTATAGACTTACATCACTTTTCAATGAAACTTTCTTCAACCATTTCTTCCTGTAATTTCCCTTTGAATCAAAATATAAAAAAATCCAAGTGGTGAAAACAAAATCTATGAATTCCCTCGAAAATATGAGAACTGTTGATAAGTATCTGCAGCAAAATCTTGTTCATTTTTTCTACAGTTATCAAATTTCAAGAAGGCGCCAAATGGAAAAGAATAGACAGTATTAACTCTACAGCTACTTAGAATACAAGAAAGTGATTTCTCTTTTTCTGCTGGGATTTATGACTCATGCACTCAACTCAGGGGCCATAAATCTCTGCAGAAAAAAATTGTTCCATCACTAACAGTACAGATGAGACTCAGTTTGTGAGAGGTATACTCTTAATGTACATTCTGGCATGAGACACCACGCAACTTATATACTTAATATATAAAGACTGATCTTTCAAATATCTCAATTAAAACCTAACAGACTGTAACTTACCCGCCTCAAACCATCATATCTGATTCTTCTGGGAGATTCTACATCAATATCATAGTCATCCCTCGTTGTCCTTAAAAAAAAAAAAAAAAAGAATGATCATTTTCATATGACATATCACTACCACAGACTACCTCTACAGGAGAATGTTCCTTAATTCTTGCAATGCAGATTCCTTTAACCTCTACCACTAGAGCAGTTTTCAAATTAGTATCAAAGGCATTCTGGGATGGCTTTGGTTTTGCTTTACTTCACTGAACTAATCAATCACTCCCAAGCAGAAGTTATCTTGATCTAACAACAAATTCTCGGGACGAATTTAAAAGGAAATGTGTAGCACCTGGTGAGGAGAATTAACAATCAGATCTTGGGAGTGAAAGGGAGTGTGCAAGGGGGGGGGGGGTAGAGGTAAGTTTACATGTAATTTTGCAGTTGGGAGAGTCCTGTCCAATAAGAAAAATACCTGTTGTCAAAGATTTGCCTACAAATATTAAACTATGTAACTATTACTTACCTCAAAAGATAACAGCAGAATGCAAAACAGACCCCAAGAATAAGGAAGCCAATGAATAAAATGGGTAGAAAGAACAAATCATTCAGGGTCAAATTGTGGTCAGTCATGATCTGCAGTGGATCAACATCAGCAGTTTTACCCTGAAATAACACAAACACAAGTCTGGGAAGACTAAAACTACTCAACAGGTGTCAGTCAGTACAGCTAACTGGCTAAGGACCAGTTTCTTACAAGTTTATCCAGTTAATGCTCTTGAAAATCTGTTTTTTGTTTTCTATGTTCAGCTGAAAGACTGAGATATCACATCTGGTTTCTTCAACATATCAGACACAATGTGTCAGTTTTTAGAAAAATGTGGCTATCCTGTTTCTGGCATTTAAGTAAATGTCACAAAAGGAAAAAACAGATTGAATTCCATTCACCCTCACATTTCAACATCTCAATCATTTGTTAAATCAACCATTCTTAAAAACTTTAAATAACTTCAAAATGATTTCCAGACTGGCACTACATAACATGGGCAACTCTATGGCCAGAAGATCAATACAAACTATTGATCAACTGGAACTTTCAAATGCATGCAGGCGCAATGCAAAACTTGTCCTTTCATTCAGAATGTTGAGAAAATATCTGAACCCAAACAATCTGTTAAGATTACTGATCACTTCATGTGTACCTCCATCAATGTCATCTATTGCATAATTAGCACTTATTGCAAAAAAATTTACATCATTGAAACAGGGAGACGATTTCGTGATCAATTCCTTGCACCTTTGCGACACAGAAAGGAATGGCAAGGGTGCATCCAAAATTCAAATCCAGGAAACAAATTATATTGTGTTAGGTTTTTAAAATAAGACCTCTAATTGTATTCTTTTGATTTAGATTTCGCCGAATGGTTTAAGGCCCACTCAGATGCCACCAGATCGTTTGAGTACCACGCAAAATACTCATTTACCACATTCATGCCACATTTCAGTCAATCCCTTTTTTTATGCCTCACCAAAAAGTAATTTATCAACCTCAAAGCCTATAGTTACAACAATCAAACTGAAGACTACAAAAATGGAATGACACCTCACATATGACGAATTAAACTTTAGATATTTTAACTCAATACACTGTCGATACTGATTCGAACACGAAAACACCGCAAAATGGAGACAAGACATTGTGTGGTGTTATCACTGATTCTCATTAGTGTATTTTTACTTGTACTGTTTCAAGGCGTGGTGCAAGTCTTCGTATTAAAGATTTCAGTAATGCATGTATTAAGTAACATTTATGTTGTGTTTAGAGTATCATTCTTTTCAATCGATTACCATTCTCGTGAATTTATTCGAGTGAAGATCTAGATTGTTTAAACCAGTTGCTCTACCGATGAACTTTCTTTTTTTTACCTTCTTTTCTATAATTTGTAGCACAAAACGAGATACTGCTTCATTTATGGGAAATATCGATTTAAAGGTCCAAATATAACCTCCAATATAGAGCTATATATAAACATGAGATGCAGTACACAGCACAAAATTTGCGTACTACGTAATTTAGATATCGTATTTCGTTCGCCTAAGTTTTGCACCTTTCTTGTGGTCAGATTAGATTATCCTGTCTCTTATGAACACCCTATTTCTAAACACCAAAAGATCTAACTACGATTTGAAGCTTGAATACCACAAGAGGCTGCAAGTAGTTTTGCTTACAGTTTCAATACCCATGGGATTAATTGTTGCTGTTTGCATCAAAACATTGTGTGATGCTACATTCAAAGCATTTCTACACCTCTATACAACAGAATAACCAAAAAACCCAGCTTTAACTGACTCACATAGAATTTAAGGGGAAGAATGGAGTATCACTTACCTGGTTTAGCCATACTGAGTAGAGAAATGACTCATACTGCTTCACTTCTTCCTCCAAATTCGAAAGAACAACGTTTTGTGTTCCTTCCCGACGTTCAAAGGGATCTAACGACAATCTAATGACAATCACGGGAGGCCGGGGAGGGACGGGGAAACTTTTGTACTCGTCGAACTGAGGGATGAATATTGAGTGATAGCGTCGTAACGATATTTTTGATTGTAAATATTTTGAACAGGAGCTGATTTTTAATATGATATACTTTTTCTCCTTTAGCATCTAGAAGAAATATCATTTTCCTCTACCGTGATCCGTCATTAAAGAAAAATGTGACGTGAAAGGTTTATATAGGGCGGTTGTAAATTTATTATTAATTTATAACGAATTTGCGCTTTTTTTCCCCTATTAATAAACAATTAAAACTGCCAGAAAAATTGTTCATAAATAAGACACTTAACTTGTCCGATGATATGTAAATAATTTATGTGGGTACATCCTGATTTATAAACAGCCTTAACCGAAGAAGTTATTATATGTAAATAATTAATTAAACAATTTTGATTATTTAAAAAAATCAGTCTGTCTCTAAAACATTTATTTACAAATCATTAAGTTAACCAAACCACTTGTGTATGAATAATTAACTTCACCTGGTCATTATTTATTGATAATGAAGAAAACTTGTTAGGTCGCACGTGATCGGGTGTCACGCACGTTGTTTCCGTGGACGACAGTGGGGGCAACAGTTGGGAGGTATGTTTTGAGGACAATAGTTTGTTTTACTTTAGTGAAAAGATCATTTAGTAGTACTTTGCGATACTTCTACGACACATAGCTCTGTGAATCAGTATAGTACGGTGGTCCATAAAGGACATGCTACATTTTTTTTCATCGCACGATAAATAATGGTAATTGAACCGAGTGGAGTGCAATTTGGGCTGAAATCATATGCGTGATTTCAAAATCAAACGAGCGCGCAGCGCAAGTTCGATTAGTAATCACAAGTATGATTTCAGACCAAAATTGCACGACACGAAGTTCAATTACCACTTTATTACATCCATTTTGAAATCGCCTAAATACAGGACTTGGTCAGTTCAAATATTTTATTGATGCAGTACTGAGCCGGTTTGAAATTAAATCATCCATTTTTGGGGGGGAAAAAAAATAAGAGTTTTGGAAATAAAAGTTGCAAAATTTGCCACATGATACTCTTTGTCTTTCATTTTCTTGCAATTTGATCGGTTACTTTAAACACGCCTTGGAATCTGATTGGTTGTTTTATTTTTGGTGTAGCTTCCTCATTGGCTGGGAAAAAGATGCAATTTGAAGCAAAAGTTGGTGCGATTCGTAAATAAATCGCACCAATTAGAGCCAGTCAGAATCAGATAACAGGGACCACCAGTGATTTCAAAATGGGTGTAATAAATCTCATTGATCGTGCGACAAAATAAAAATATCGCGCAATAAATGGGAATTATCGTGCGATAAATGATAAATTATCGGGCGATTCATGGGAAACTTGTTAGGGCGCACGTGATCGGCTGTCACGCACTTTGTTTTCGGGGACGAGACCGCAACAGTTATAAAATATTTTCCGCTTCGGTCAGTAAAAAATTGCCGCCAATTTACTCTCGTCCCAACATGGCGGATTTCTGCGCGGCGTGCTGTAATAGGTCAATCCTGGCGACAGGTTTTGTTTAAAATGCGGCTCACAAATAACACAAACATCATTACATGAAAGAACCGGTAGGATTAAAGCACAACCCACAACCGTACTATTGGAATAGTCCGCCATATTTGAATAGCCGACAATTTCCGATAATCACCCGACTCGGAAACTCGTTACTAGTTCTCCTCGGGCGTACTTCTAGCCAGTAGGGTTTAGGCACAACCCTTATTACTGGAGTCGGGCAAGAGAGTGCAGTAATCTGAACAGCAACTACGTCAACTTCTTGAGGAAGTTCGAGTATTTTCAGAAACAAAAAAGAGTACTTCGTGTTTTTGGACGTTCGCATGGTAAACAACATAATCCAAGCTCGAGCCTCAATCACAATGCAAGTTCTGCAAGTTCCTCGCGTTTTAGACGAATGATAAACATGAGACGAATCGGTACTTCCAGCAGGACAAATAGGTCAAGATCGCAAGTGAAAGAAAACACTCCATTCTTGTACGATTTGATATTACTCACTGGCCTAACAGTCAATGTTGTACCACGACAGGGAGAGAGGATGGCTTTGAGTGAGCACGGCCATGTTCTCAATGCATGTCAATTTTTTAAAGCCATGAGCGAAGTACAAGTTGAAACCACCATCATGGAGGCGTTTGCAGAAACCCTTCCTCGCCATATAGAATAGAAGTCCTTATGTCAGTCCATAATAAGCTCGTTAAGCCAATGCTTGCACCAGGTCAGGAAAGGATTTACATCGCTTTTTCAAAATTAAGCTGGCTGTGTGACTCTGGCACAACAACATTTTTGTTTGTTTCAGTATCAGTCAATGGACCGTCATAATCAATTCCATATGTTTGCCAATTTGTGACAATCGATTCCTCAGGAGCAGGAGAGTAATCCATTGTACCACATTGCCGGGGGTGTTTGGTGGCCTGCTCTTCTAATACCATCATAATTCCACTGACTTGTAAAGTCACGTAGAGAGGCATTGATCCGAGGAAAATTAACATATTGCTAAGACAGCAGGTGTAACTCCAGTGAGTCCAAAGTTCCACTCCTCTCAAGGAAATAAAACATTCCTTTTAAAGTGCTGAGCTGACTCCATTAACTTCTGCCCATAGCCTTTCAATGCACCGATTAGCGATTGTGGACACTTCTACCAGTAATGAAACTACCTCTGTCAGATCCCCGGTTAATAATCATGTACCTTGCTACATCTACATTCTCCATATCCTGGTCACCTCGAACGCTGGAAGGGAGACTAAAGTCTTGTACCCCTTACTTAAAATATTGAAACACAGTACTTGCTTTGTTGTCTGTGCAACATTTCAGATATACTATGGCTCAGCTGTAGCCATCGATGTATTCATGGATGACAAATCTCCATGAGATTAGCTTATGGTTTGAGTCAATGTACCACAGTTGATTTGGGCCATTGTAGGTTCTTCGACAGATTGCATTCTGACGTCTAACAACTCTACCTATACTATCTATCCTTTTCAAGCTCTCTCTTATTCTAAACCGTCAAAAATTTATACCCCTACCTTTGAGACTGCCTCTAACATATGTTTTCCCACTGTAGGGCGTTAAATTGAGGGCGTGCTGCATATACGTGTCTAAGTCTTCGTCCGTAATATCTGTGAAACTATTTTCCACTCCTAACTCGATCCTTCGTCTATATAGTGTTTGGCCGGAGATTATAAGGCATGTTGCTATACTTCTCCAGTTCATACCAGTCTCATGAAGTTGCTCGATCATTTCCCTTGTAATAATGTTCGCCGATCTTCCTCCTGACCTTAAAGAGGATGCCAACGGATTTTTTCCCTTGGATGAAGGCTTAATGCACGTTAAATTGATTGATTGATTGATTTATTTATTGATTTAAATATCGGACGTCTAAAGACGGCTAATGTCTATACACGGCTAAAGACAATTCTAACACCTCAAGCACGTCTGAAGAGGAATTGCGATAAGCATTCTTGTGTGGTCTTCAGGCTGCTTAGCACAGAACACGAATCCTACATGATCAGATGCGTGATAAACGGAAGCGGTTCTTTCAGTGGTGCTCCTTAGAGAATAGACAAACCCCGTAAAGTCTTCAGTACTCAGTTGCCCCACCATTTTGAGAGAAATACATTTTACTAACTGGCTGTTTCTTACCAGCTCAGAAAAAACTAATCGATAATCTCACATAGCGATTTCTTTTTCTTACGCAACACTTTCTCATTCTCAACAGTTAATATTTATTTCTGGGTGTACTGTTACATCAGTATTTTTCTCCATTATTAATGTAATATTATGTAATGTTTTTTCCTTCTCGATGGGTAATTTGAAATCTCGCATGGAAGTTTTTCATTCTTGGAAAGTGATTTCAATTTCTCATGTAGTGATTTCCCAAAGTCACATATCGATCACTGGAACTCGATAGATAATTTTGAAATTAATTTTCTTTTGTCTTCCTTGGCTCGCCTTTAGGCTAAAAGGTCATTGTCGGTTATGTTCAGTCATGTGACACCACTGAAAGGCTGCCTTATTTTCCGACACCTATTTGTTTAGTGATTTCTTCCATCTTACACGATGCCAGAAACAGCTGGAAAGGTGAGAAACGAAATTGGTTTGGCTTTTTCACTGCGCCGAGAATATAAAAAAATAATTGCGCCACGAGTTTGTGCGTGTTTTAGAATGAGAATTTAGCGCTGCGAAAACACGACACGCCAATCGGTGCGTTCATTCGCAATTAAGGTTATTAAGGGTTTGTTGGTATCAGACGTACGTAGATCGTCTCTGACGGGCCCGGCATGTTGGTACGCTTCAATTTGTGACTCTGATGAATATTTTCGGACCAGGACGCTTCCGAGTGGAAAGGAGTGTTACAATATGTTAATTTGTGCACTCTTGTCGGTTTGATGATCATATCATTTATGCATGCAAAAGCAGGGGGAGAATTTAGTTCGTAACTTTTGATCAATTTACTGGATCAATTTCTCTGGTGTTTCTGTCCCTTTCTACCCCAGAAATTGCTACGTGCCTTCTAAATAAAACTGAGAGACACAGCTGGATCAAAAGAAAAAGATTTGCAGGAATAATGCAAATTTTGGCAAGGCAAATGAGTTAGCGTACATGGTCTATTTTCGATATAAATATGAAAGATAAGGTATATTTTTAAATTAAATCTCATTCGAACTATTGAAATTGTCAAAATAAATGGAACTCTCAGCTCATTTTCAAATACAAATTAACATTTATACCTACTTCTTAACAAAGTGGAGACCATTACAACGAACTCAATCTTATTCACTAATTTTAACGATTATTAACGGCGGGCGGTCTGCAGACAACGCAGAGCAGCAGTTACACTCACAGCCAATTGCTGTGTAAATAATATCAAATTCGCGAATCGACCCTTGATGTGCAAATACATTCCAAAGAGACAGCGACCTTCTAATTCACGAACTATTTTTCATGTCATAAAATTAAAGGCGTAAATACGGGATTCGCGAAA